CAAGGATTTGTCCTCAGTGGAGAGAGGCCCTTTCCAGCTTTCTGGATCCTCCTCTGGGGCTTATGCTAAGTGGGGGGTGGCCTCAGGAATTTCCATCCAGGGAAGTGTTGGACAGAGTCAGCCATGGAATCTTGGACTCTGTCCCCTGCTTGCCACCATCTCTTCCTGGCACTGAGTGTGGGGGCACCTGAAAGTATGGTTATGTTTTTCTCTTGCTGCTCACTCTCTGGCTCTGTGGCCCTGGCTGAGCAGCCAGCCCCCTCTGCACCTGTTTTCTCCCCAGGGGATCAGAAAGCTCACCTGGGGTAAGAGGGGCAGAGACCTTGTGTGTCTTGTGGTGTGGCCAGTGCTAAGGCTGGCAGGTCCTTCCCTGAGAGTCCTGTGCCTGGAGAAGCTTGGATCAGCAGGCTGCTGATGTCTGAGGGGAGCCTGCAGGGATGTGACTGCGGGGCTGTCTGGGAATGCCGGCTCAGCTCTGTGGATCCTCTGGTCTGCGCCCAAGCCCAAGTTCTGAGTGGCCTCTTTCTTCCCAATTCCTGAGAAGCTGTCGAGCAGCCCAGAGACCCTCACAGCAGCCCCCTGCTCCCCTAGTATCACCCCGATTGGGCCAGGGGGCTTGAAGCTGCTCATTACATTCATCTGTGTCTGTCTTTCCCAGCTGATAAGCTATTCTCAGGGAACCCTTATCAGCACATCAAGCCTGCATTGTTATAATCAAGGGAGAGATCGGCTTTATGACCTTATGATATCGGAGGCAAAGAATTATAACAAAAGCTGTTATCTTCTAGTGAGCTTCAAAAACACCTCTAAGCTGGAGAGGCCAGTAACAGTGGTGAGTTCTCCATTCCTTCTATGTGCCATGCAGTGCAAGTGGCTCTTCACATCTGAAGACCTTCTACAGAATGTGCACAGCAGCCCTGTGAATTGGGTGCTACCATTTTTACCTCACAGAAAAAGCACAGAGGCCCAGAGAAGGGCAGCCTGTTGCCCAAGATTGCACAGCATGCATGTGGCAGGGTCTGGATTCAGACCCGGCCACTGGACCCTTACATGGGTTCAGCATCTCTCTTCACCACCAGAGTGTGAGTTGTGTAACATCCTGTCCCAGGGATGAGCACACAACCTTGATTAAGCTACTAGCTGATTTGGCTTTGATCTCATGTATTTTGATCTTATTATTTTTTATGTTAGGAGGTGCTCAATAACCATCATTTCCACAGTGCCCCAATTAGCAGGCCATTCACAGTGGATTGAAAATTGACTTGTACCAGGCCTCTCCATAAGCCTCTGGGAGAGGCTTCCAGCCTTAATTACCCACCCCCGACCCTGTGCCAAGCCTGGTGGCCTGAGGAGCTTGTGTGGCCCTGCAGGTGACTGTGTGAGGTGGGACCGTGGAGGCGGGGTATCACTCTCTGTTGTAACTATTTCTTGGGAGCCTGGGCATGACTTGGGTGGGGCCAGTTTCAGGGTGATGGGGAGGCCCGAGGGGCAGGAACCTGACATCTGTTTAGCATCTTTCTTGTGTGTAGTATGGGGTTGACACTTGTGGTCCACGCTCCAAGTCAGTGCTCTCATAGCTCTGGGTAGAGATGCTTAGCGAGAAAATGGAGGCTAAGAAAGGACAAGTCCCCAGCCACATGGCTGCTGACTGGAGGAGCCCAAGCTCAAACTCCGATCTGTGAGATTCTAGCATTCCTTCTGCCCTGGGTGAGCCTGGGCCCAGCCGAGGAGCCGCTGTCTCTGGCTGCCAGCAGGGCTGGGGCAGGGTGACCCGGTCAGGCAATTACCTGTTCCCTGAGCACATTCCTGCTGCTTGGCCGCTGTGCTGTCGCACTGCACTCCTCGCTCAGGCTCCCATCTCTGCTGGTCTAAATCCTCTTCCTTTGTGGCCCTGAGGTTGCCCTCCCCTGATCCCAGGGAGCTTCTTCTCTCCTTCCTCATGGGCTGAATTGTAGGGTCTGTCTCCCTGGTGGGCTCTAAGCTCCTCAAACGCATGGTCATCCTGCTCTTTGCTCCCCCAGTGCTTAGCCAGGGGTTTGCACGTGGTGGTGTGCTGAGTGTATGTAAAAAACACACAGGATGGAAGGACCCAGTCTACCCTTATCAGTGGGATGCATGCCCAGATGGGAAACCAAGGCTCAGAGAGGTTAGTGACTTCAGAACCTGGCATATATGGAGTGGGGACAGGGCTTGCCCTCAGAAGTCAGGTGATCTGGAAGGGAGTCACATGGGGTGGGTGACAGCGAGCTGGAGTGAGTGCTCTTGAGGCTGTCCTGGGCTAGGACAGGCCTGGAGTTCCTGGACAAACTTCATGCTCTAGTGATGTACAGTTTATTTTACAAGAGCACTTTCTAAAGTTATAAATGCAGTGTCCTAGCATTAAAGAGACTGTGCACAAGAGAAGAGAGAAATTCATTCATCATCACAGATCCTTAGCTTCCTTTCAGTGTTTTACATTTTAGCATGCTTTTCACCTAGTTGTCATCTTGGTGACCATATAATTATGAGCCCTGGTCTGGTCACTTAGCCACCTCCCAGAAGTGGTTTTTAGACTGGATGGCATCTCAGGTTAGCCTTGCCTTTCATCTGTGTGTGGCCTCAGAAGCCCGTATCGGAAAATGGGCACAGTGACACAAAGTCTGCATGAATGTCATGGGAATAATGTGAATTCAGGTACATAAGCACTTGACAGAGGGTTTGGCCCAGAGAAAATTCTCTTCAATAGTCCCTCCTTCTAATTAGCTTCATACTTATCCATTATTGGAGAATCATTATCTGTTCATGATGCAAAATTTTGGCAAAATATAGAAAAGAATGAAAAAATCACTTCTTGGCCTCTTTTCAAATGCAGTCACTTTTAATATTTTGCAATATCTTCTGTCCTTTCTTTCATGCATTGAATTTTATTTAACTGATATCATAAAATACATATAATTTTGTATTATTTTCACATTACTCTTTTATGACAAGCACTTTCCCATGTTATTGTAGTACCCTCATAAATAGTTTTAAAGGCTGCATATGCTTTCAACAAATGGAGCCTTTTCTTAACCACTCACCTACCTGCATCTTTGAGATTGTTAGCAGTATTTCAAGTGTAGGGAGAAGTAGCCTCTGAATGTTTTTTATCTAAAGCCATTCCCATAGTTTGTATAGTTGTCCAAAGTGGAATTATTGACCAGGGGACATACAAATGGCAAGGCTACTGTACTCTTGTGCAAGTCTCTGCTGACTGCTGTGTGCCAGGCACGGTGTTTGTCTGGGGAAGGATGGTGAGCAGAATGGGCATGGCCCTTGGCCTCCTAGAGCCTGAGGTTGAGTAAGAGAGACAGAGAGTTACAGGAGCACGGTGAAGTGCTGTGATAGAAGTGCAAGCTGCAGGGGGTGCATGAGACAAGGGGTCCTTCGCCAGTCTGTGGATGCAGAGACAGTCTTGTAGCCTCAGTGTGAAGGTTCAAGATGCAACAGAAAACATGGTGGGTTCCAGGGGTTGAAAGGTGGGCAGGGGCATGTGAAGACCATGAGGCTGCAGGCATTGAACAGCCTGCAAGGCTGTCCTAAGGAGTTTGACTCCATCCCCAAGGCTCTTGGGAGTCACCATAGGGCTTTAAGCAGGACTATGACCCAAGTGGATTCTTTTTAGGAGAGAGCTCAGTTGGCTGTATGAAGCCTGGATGGGACGGAGTCAGAGCATTTGGGTGACTGTGTGATTCCCAAGAAAGACATCAGAGAGTCTCTTGTTTAACTACCTCATGTCCTGCCTTGTGTGTGGAGGCCAAGCGTTCAGCAGGGAGAACTGTGGGCATTTGCTAATGCTCATGAATGTGTAAGGCATGCGTCCTTGTGTAGGGAGCAGCCGGCCTCTGGTTGAATGTGTGGTGGGCTCATCCTCTTCCCTCACCATCCCAGGCACCCCCTGCCTTGATTCTTGGGGCTGCTTCTGCTCTTATTCTGCTTTTCCCAGCCTTGTCTGAGGCATTACCTAAGCCCAAGGGCTCTCAACCGAAAGCACTGCATTGTCAAAGTGGTTCAGAAGTCTGCCGTCTGCAGTAGATGGCCCGCTGACATTTGCAGGCTGTGTTTTAAAACTGCATTTGCGTTCCCGTTCCCCCATTCCTGCCATCACATAAAGCATTATTAATAAACGTTTGCTTCAAAACTGGTGCAGTAAGTTGCAAGATTGGAGGGGGGATGCATCTTTCTATTTATTAATTGGTTCATTGTCCCCAAAATCCCAAGTGTGTGGCTAATAGGGTTACTGGATGACTTTAAAAGATGCGTCCTGAGTCCCACAACCTCAAATCCATTTTCCGCGCCTGATAGCCGCCAGGAGCATCTTCCTTTGTTATTGTCAACTGGCTTTTGAATAATCCTGGGATTCCGGAACTAACTGCTTCATCTGGGGTTTGACCCAGTGTTTTATATGAATCAAGTGGACTTGGCCAGAAGACCTAGTGTTTCTTTTTTCTCCCCTATAATCTGGGTCCTCCAGGGCAAGTGTCTCCCTAACTTTCTGATACAGTTCATTCCCTTTAGTTCCAATCAGTCATTTCAGTCAATAATTGCAGAGCATAGGTGTATTCACGGCTTATCTCTTGGCTTTGGGGATGCAAGATCAACAAAATAAGTCTGCAGCCTTATGGGGTTCCCACCCCAAGTGGAAAACAGGACCACAGATTGAGCAGCAGATGCAGGTCTCACAGACACAAGTTGGATTCCTGTTGTGCCATCCCTCTTGGAGTAGACTAGGGCCAATGACTTTGCCTCTCCTGCCTCCATTTCCTCATCTGTTGAATGGGTGCAAGAAACATCCAGCAGGCAGGATCCCTAAGAACATTGGTGACACTGTGCAAGTGAGAACTGCTGGCCTGACCCAGGATGGGTTCTCAGTCCCTGGGGAGAGGCAGCATTTCTTGGGGCCCCGGGCATGAGCTGTTGGGCATAGGCCAAGTGCTTCGTCCCCACACTGACCCCCACCTCTACCTCCCCTCTCTTTCCAGCCTGTGACCTCATGACCCAGGGGATTCTGGCCTTGGTCACATCCACTGGCTGTGCATCCGCCAATGCCCTGCAGTCCCTCACAGACGCCATGCACATCCCCCACCTCTTTGTCCAGCGCAACCCAGGAGGGTCGCCACGTACCGCCTGCCACCTGAACCCCAGCCCTGATGGCGAGGCCTACACACTGGCCTCCAGACCTCCAGTGCGCCTCAACGACGTCATGCTCAGGCTGGTGACAGAGCTGCGCTGGCAGAAGTTCGTCATGTTCTACGACAGCGAGTATGGTGAGTTGGGCGCAGGGACCCCTCTGGGCCTCCAGTGGGGGCTCGGTTTGGTGCTGGGAGATCTGTGAGCTGGCTGGCACCCCCAGGGCTGGGTGCCTTAGAGTGGCTGGGTGTGGCTGGTGGCTGGTGGTCTGAGTTGAATGGGTCTTGGGGTTGTAGGGCCCAACCTTGAGCTTTGTGAGTGGGGGAAAAGCTGCAAAAACAGATCTGTAGATAGGCACTTATGTTGCCTAGCAACAGCACCTTATCATGACAGCTGAAGTTTGAATCACCTTAGAGTTTTCAATAAAATATTAATAAACTACTGTCAGGCGTCTGAAAGGCTTCATGTAGGCAGTGGTGGAGGCTGCCAGCCCGGGTCCTCCCGGAAGCCTCCTCTCCAGAGATTGCCTTTCACTCTGGACATTTGCCTGCCTTCCCAGCAGCTTGCCTCCTTCCCCCCTGCTGTGCCCTTGGGTTGGAACAAAGGTTAAGGGAGGGACACCCGAGTGTCATGGGGACTGGTTGGGGTTGTATGTGTCTGGAGACACTAAGCATGGCTGGATGTGGCTTCTTTGAAGATCTCCCATATGAAACAAAAATCATAATTTGCTTGTTAGGAAAACACAAGAAATGGGCTTTGGAGAAATGGCTTCAGGTTTTCTTATGGCTGCTCTGTAAAAGCAGACCATTTCTAGTCTTGAGATAAAGTGGTTTCTGCATTATGGTTTATTTTTTTGAACTTTTTATTTTGAGATTACTTAGATTCTCATGCAATTATGAGAAATAATAGAGATGTCCCATGCACCCTTCCCCCAGGCTCCCCAAGGGCAGCATCTTGCATATCTGTCATATGATATCACAAGCAGGATTTGACAGACAATCCGTAGACCTTGTTCAGACTTCTCCAGTGTATATGCACTTGCATGCGTGTGTTCATTTCTTTTCAATTTTATCATGTGTACCTTCATGAACCACTAGGGCAGTTTTCTCACAAAGATCCCTGTTCTATCCATTTATAGCCACAACCAGTCGTATTAGGGGTCTTCAAAGGGTGTACAGGACTGGTGAGGGTCAGAAGCCCCATAGGTGGGGCCAGGGTGGAGGGGGTGGACCCTTGAAAGCTCCTGCTTTGTCTCTTGGTGAAATAATTCCTTTGCTAAGAATGTAACTAAGAGAAGAAACCAGCATATGTTTGCATTTGCCTAAATACTCTGCTTCTCTAAGACCGGAATGTTGTCCTCAGCTCTTGAACAAATATGCTGTTTGGAGTCTTCCAGGAGGAATTGAAAGATCAAACAGTCACTGGGATGAAATGAAGATGAAACAGTGATGAGGACAAGGGTGGCCTGAGGCTCAGGGCACTTGCACTGGACTCTGTCTAGAACCTGGCCTCTCCCTCCCACTGCTACTCAATCCCTGGCACTGGGGAGCAGTTGGAGACTGTATGACAGTCATCAGGAGCCCATGTGGCATCTGTTGGGGGCCCAGCCTCCCTGGGAGAACCCTCTGTGCTGGTCTCTTGGCTGGCCAGCTCTGAGGCTGGCCTGTGGGGAGGTGTGGGCACTGCTGGGGCTGGAGGACGCTGTGGTGCGGGGGCTGCAGGCCCTTCCCACCCCACCTCTCCCATCACCCTTGCTCTCCTTCTGCTCTGGTCTGCAGAAACTCTTCAAGTTTGGTTCTCCCCAAGGCCGGGGAGGTGGAAACCTGAGCCCCAAGAGGACCGGGGGCAGCTCTCCAGCCTGCCCATGCTGTCTGGGCCCCTGTGATTCTTGCAGACTGAATGTCACCTGATGGCACTTGTTCAAACTCTGTGCTTTCTTCTTATGGCACCTCTTTCCCCAGTCAGCTCAAGAATAAGACTTCACAGAAAGGAGCTGTGACCCCCAGCTGTCTGCAGCCTCTGCCCTTCCCCGTGGAGCTGGATCCTTGGTGACACACTCTCACAGATAGGCATCTCCTCCCTCGGTTGCTCTCAGCTTCTCTTGACACACTCATGGGGGCTAATCCTGGATGAACAATGCACTCCACACGAGCTGCAAGCTTCAGGACAGCAGGCCACCTGCTGTTCACTACTGCGTCCCTGCCCCTTAGCACAGGGCCTGGCACAGAGGGAGCCCTAAGAAACTGCCACTATGTGGATGAACAGACTCATTTATGAGGACATGAAGTTTTCAAACAATTTTCCCAGAAGACAAAGAAGACATGGGAGGAAAGACAAAGGCACTGGATAGTCTGACCTTTGAGGTAGGGGAGGTGCACTAGGAGACAGATGTTTCCTTCTGCAGATACACTCCTGGGCCATGCTGCGCCCTCCAACCCCTTCCCCCGAGGGCCCCCAGTCAAATCTCCTTTCTGAGGCGAACACTTTTGCTGCCTTCTTTGGGGCTGAAGTTAGTTTTCAACCAGACTGGCCTTATCAGTGATTCCATCAAGATACAGGGTCACCATAACTTTCCTCTGGTGGACCACTGCAGGCAACTTTCTGAGCCTTGAATGCTGTGTTGGCAAGGGTTCTGAGGCTGTATGTGGACTCAGCAATAGAAAGTGTGGTGATTGCTCTGCAAGGTCTCCACGGTCGCAGGGGAGGCACTGGCGGCATAGTGCTGTTTGCTGATTCTGACCTAGAGGGTAGGGCTGAACAAGTGCCTCATTTGACTATCACTGTCCAGGGTGCTGACCCCTGTGGCTTTAAGCTTTCTGGAAGCCAGAGCACTTTCACAGGAGTCTGGGCAAGATCTCCTGTTGTTGCCTGCTCTGGCCTCCTGACTCGACAACCTTTAAGGTCAGCTATCTGCCCCAAGATAGTCTCTGTAAGACTTTAATCATGCTGACTTCTGCAGCTTGTCCTGGTCATGCCCCTTATGCCCAGCCCAGCCCCTGGCCTATTTTCCAACATGACTTGTGTTAGGAGAGCCAAGGCAGTGGAGGCCCACCTGTTACCCGGTGCAGCACATCCAGAGCCAATAGTGCGGGGTGTGGGGGCTCCCCAGGCATGGCTGGCTCTGGCCTGTCTGAGAGCTGGGCATGGGTTTGCATTGCCCAAGACAAACGGTGCCTCCAGAGCTCCTCAGGCCCTTTCCTCCATCCCACCACTGCAGACTCACTGTAGATGAGCCCAATTAAAAAGTAAATTGAGTGTAAAGACTGTTTTATTCATTCCAAAGTCAAAAAGAAGTGGTTTGGGGATATAGCAACTTTTTTTTAATGCTAATCTGTACTTATCTTTACATATATTATTTCATTTGGGCCATGCCGTAACTCCATGAGGTGGGATTATTGTTGCATTTTAAAGATGAGAAACATGAGGCCCAAAGGGGTTCTTTTTTGACTTCAATGCCTCGGCACTTAGCTAAGGCACCATTCATTTCTGTAATCAGGGGCTTGCTAGGCTCCAGTTACCTCCTCCTGTCCCCAGCCAGGCAGAGTGGAAGCCAAGGAAGGAGAGGTGATTTGGAATGGGCTTGGTATGGCCTAGGCTGATGGGGCCATCACTTTAGTGAACGTCATACAGATGGTCCCACTCTTGCTGGGTGAGGCCCAGTTCTTCCTCATTTGCCCCTCAGCCTCCCTTTAAACTCAGGAATGACCTGCCCTGGGTAAAGCTTGAAGACTGGGTATTTGAATGAGGAGTCAAGGGTCAGAAAGGCAAAAGCATTGAGCCCTGACACAGAACTTGACAGAGGAGTGAGAGAGTAATTTGTATATATTTGGTTTACAAAATGCAAGATGTGCCATTTGGTAAAATTCCATTGAAAATACTTGTATGCTTGTTGTGACAGCAAAATGAAAAAATAAAAGAGAAGCTGACATTTGGGAAAGAAAATCTGTAACATTAAAATACCGAAAGTTTGGATCAAATGGAAAAGAGAACTTTCTGACTTGCCACTTCAAAAAAATTCTGGGATATTCATTCATGTGTTGGGGGTGGGTGCTAGAAGCAGCAGCCACCATTTCTCTGGAGTGAGTATATTTGGATGAGGGGCATAGTTATCATGGGATCTTAGAAACCATTGACTCATTCATTCAGCAAATATTCACGGACTCCCTACCATGTACAGTTATTTTGCTAGACATTCATTTTAGAAGAATAAACAAATGGGGGGAGTAACTTGGCTAAAGTTGCACAGGCTGGGATTTGAAATCAGGAGCTCAGGCTCTTTCCTCCATAGCACCTCCAGGGTATAGCTCTTGGCCCCTGGGCCAGCCTGCAGGGCTGGGCTGGGTCAGGAGCTAGGATTCCACAGAAACAAAAGCTCAGGGCTCTGCACGAGTGGCTATTGTCTGCTTGTGCTTATTTTAAAATTACTTTTTAAAATTAAAAGTTATACGTGATTACAGTGTATATGTCAAATTAAAAGAATGATAAAACAAGCTCCTGCGAACCAGTGCAAGTTAAAAAAAATGCAAAGGAACCCATGTGTGTCCTACTCCTGTCATGCCTTCCCCCATCCCCCACAGACAGGGGACAGAATTGCTATCCTGATTGCATGTGAACCATTTTGCCTGCTTTTCTTTATAGTTGATCACACAAGTATGGATCTTAAAATATATATTGCTTTAGTGTAGCCTGTTTGTGAACCTTAAATATATGGAATAACACTGTGCACTTTGTGATTGCTTTATTCACTCAACATTAGGTTTTTAAGATCCATCCATTTGCTGCATGTGGGTGTATTCAGTCATTTTATGGCTGCATGCTGTCACTGATATATTATCCACTTCAATGTTATGGGCACTTGCATAGTTTCCAGGTTTTTGTTGTTATAAATAATGCTGATTAGTACATTCTCGTGTTTGTCTTTTGGTGTTTGTATGGAATCATTTTTCGAGGGTCCATTGAAGGAGTGGAATTGTTGGAGACTGTTGGGTCTCTTCATGTTTCACTTTATTATGCTATTCCAAATGGTCTTCCAGAGCATTTCCACCTGTTTGCTCAGCCATCTGCAATGTACACACACAAAGTTCCCCAAACTCAAACTAGTGTTGTTTTTGCTTTTAAGATTTTCATGTGGAATGAT